ATTAGAAATTAATGATAAAAGATACTGCAAAAGTCCACAAACACATGGAAACTGAATAACACACTCTTGAGTAATCAGTGGGCCACAGAAGAAATTAAAGAAGAAATTAAACAATACCTACAAGAAAATGAAAATGCAGATACAACTTACCGGAATTTGTGGGATGCAATGAAAGCCGTCCTCAGAGGAAAATTTATTGCACTGAGTTCCCACATCAGGAAATCAGAACGAATACAAATAAATAACTTGATGCTACACCTCAAACAGCTAGAAAAAGAAGAGCAAGTCAAGCCCAAAGCCAAAAGAAGAGAGGAAATTATAAAAATCAGAGCAGAAATCAGTGCAATAGAGACTAAGAAAACAATCCAAAGAATCAATGAATCAAAGAGTTGGTTCTTTGAAAGAATAAATAAAATCGATAAGCCCCTAGCCAACCTTATTTAAAAAGGGGAAGAAAAAGCTCAAATTCATGCAATAAGAAATGAAAAAGGTGAAATCACTACAGACCCAACAGAAATACAGAAGATCATCAACACCTATTTCAAAAACCTCTACTCTCAAAGGTTTGATAACACAGAAGAAATAGACAGATTCTTAGAAACATATGAAGTACCAAAGTTATATCAAGAGGATGTAAAACTGTTGAATAACCCAATCTCTGTTAATGAAATTGAAAATGTAATTAAGTCCTTACCTACAAAGAAGAGCCCAGGCCCAGATGGATTAACTGCAGAATTCTACAAGAAATACAAAGAAGACCTAATGCCAGCACTCCTCAAACTATTCAATGAAATTGAAAGGGAAGCAATCCTTCCTAAGTCATTCCTGGAAGCAAATATCACTCTAGTACCAAAACCTGAGAAAGACCCAACTAAAAAAGAGAACTATAGACCCATCTCCCTAATGAACACAGATGCAAAAATCCTCAATAAAATATTGGCAAATAGGATGCAGCAAATCATCAAGAAGATTATACACCATGACCAAGTGGGATTCATCCCAGGAATGCAAGGATGGTTCAACATATGTAAATCAATAAATGTAATCCACCATATCAATAAAGCCAAAAGTAAGAATCACATGATCATTTCTATAGATGCAGAAAAAGCCTTCGATAAGATCCAACATTCATTCATGATAAGAACTTTACAGAAAATTGGAATGGATGGTCTTTACCTCAATATAATTAAGGCCATTTATAACAAACCAACAGCCAGCATCATACTAAATGGCCAAAAATTGAAAGCCTTTACTTTAAAATCAGGCACAAGACAAGGATGTCCTTTATCACCACTCCTATTTAATATAGTACTGGAAGTACTAGCCACAGCAATTAGGCAAGAGAGAGAAATACAAAGGGTAAAGATAGGAAAAGAAGAAGTTAAATTATCATTGTTTGCAGATGACATGATACTCTACATAGAAGACCCCCTAAACTCCATTGAAAGACTCTTTACAATAAATAAATTCAGTAATGTAGCTGGATACAAAATCAATACTCAAAAATCAATAGCATTCCTATACACTAACAACAAAATCACAGAGAGGGAAATAAGAGAAACCACACTCTTCACATTAGCAAGCAAAAAAATGAAATATTTAGGAATTACTCTTATGAAAGAAGTGAAAGACCTATACAAGGAAAATTATAATACACTGAAAAAAGAAATTGAAGATGATCTCAGAAAATGGAAAAACATCCCTTGCTCATGGATAGGAAGAACAAACATTGTGAAAATGGCCATTCTCCCAAAACTGTTATACAGATTCAATGCAATCCCAATAGAAATACCATCAACATACCTTATAGATCTAGAGAAATCACTCCTAAATTTCATCTGGAACCAGAAGAGACCTAGAATCGCAAAGGCAATTCTAAGCAGCAAAGACAAAGCAGGAGGCATCACAATCCCTGACTTGAAGTTATACTACAAAGCAACAGTAGTAAAGTCAACATGGTACTGGAATCAAAGCAGAGACGAAGATCAATGGAATAGATTAGAAGATACAACCACAACTACAAACACATTCAACCACCTTATCTTTGATAAAGGAGCCAAGCAGGTTCACTGGAAGAACGACAGTCTCTTTAATAAATGATGCTGGAAAAACTGGCGCTCCATTTGCCGAAAACTAAAGCTAGACCCATGTCTATCACCATGTACTAAATTAAAATCTAAATGGGTCAAAGATCTGAAACAGAAACACTAAATCTATTGGAAGACAAACTGGGTAGAAGCCTTGAAGACATAGGGGTAGGTAGAGAATTCATGAACAGGACTCAAACCGCACGGGAAATAATTCCCAGAATCAATAACTGGGACCACTTCTTATTAAAAAGTTTCTGCATATCAAAAGAAATCTCCAGTATAGTGAAAAGAAAACCCACAAACTGGGAAAAGATTTTAGTGAACTCTCTCTCAGACAAAGGACTCTTGTCTAAAACATATAAAGAATTTTAAAAAACTCAGACCCCCAAAATTCAAAGATCCAATCCAAAAATGGGCATCTGAGATGAATACGCACCTCTCAGATGAAGAAATACAAATGGCAAATAAATACATGAAAAAATGTTCACCATCATTGGTCATTAGAGAAATGTAAATTAAAACCACACTGAGATACCATCTCACTCCTGAAAGAATGGCCAGGATCAAGAAAACCAACAACAACAAATGCTGGAGAGGCTGTGGGGAAAAAGGAACTCTGCTGCACTGTTGGTGGGAGTGTAGACTGGTACAACCTTTGTGGAGGTCTGGAGATTTTTCAAAAGCTGGGATTGGAAGTCCCATTTGTTCCAGCTATTCCACTTCTAGGCATATTCCCAGAAGAAATGAAAGCATCATACCACAGGGATATATGTGCACCTATGTTTATAGCAGCACAATTTGTAATCGCCAGATCTTGGAAACAACCCAAGCGTCCATCAACTGAGGAATGGATAAAAAAGTTGTAATATTTCTATACAATGGAGTATTATTCAGCTATAAAGAAGGATCACATTGAGATATTTATCAATAAATGGGTGCAGCTTGAGACCATACTCATAAGTGAAATAAATCAATCTCACATGTGTGAATACCAAATAGTTTCCCTAATGTAAGTAATGATTCAAATATATTAAAATATGTGGTAATCATGATTCCCCATTATGTGGCCTTGAAGCCTTATAAAGTTTTCACTTATTAATTGGAAAGGCTTTATTCTGAGCTTCTTGATATGGAAATATTTGAAGCTATAGTATATGAAGTTTTATTCAAATATTTCAAGGAATAAGACACTATGGTAACTACTATTAAGTCGGGTTATTTGGTGGTGAAGCACTAGGTTGCTGAAATAGTCATGCTTTGACCTGTATTGTTATATTGTTATGTCCTCTTTTATCTCAATCTCTCCCTTACTCATTAAAAAAATTATTTAGTTGTTTTTTATGGTTTTAAATTTAATTAAGGGGAAAAATTTTTAAATTAGCAGGATATATAATAGTAACTTTTTTACTCTAAGTTCCTATTAACTTGTTTTGAAGTCCTGTAATACTCCCACTATCTTATTTTGACTGATTAGACTCTGTTCCATTCTGTATGATAGTATCAAGTTTGAGGGTATAGGCAACTACTTTGAAGGCAATAAGATTCACCAAGATGCCCATTCTGGTTTGACTATTATCTCCTTTGGAAGTCCTGTAATGTTTACAACGCTTAAGTTTTATTGGTCTTGTTCTCTACTGTTTTGTTCAACTTTATAATACCTAATGAGATAGACAATTCTTTTTAAGGAAACAAGAGGCATTATGGTAACCACTGTTGATAACCTTATACTCTGTTTTTACATCATGTGCTATGTCTATCCTTGGTTTTGACTGACAGCTTTGTTTTGCCATATTTGACTTTATTCTCTCCCCCCCAAAAAAAGTAATAAGAACTAAGGAGTAATAAAACCCAAAATGTGTAAGTTTTGTTGTGAAAAAGAGAAGGAAAAAAAAGTGCTCTAAAAGATACAACAGCAAGTGTGTTTAGGGGTGTTAAATAGCTGACCATATTAATGTTTTTGGTTGGATCACTGAACACAACTGTTCGAAAAAAGTAATAAGAACTAAGGAGTAATAAAACCCAAAATGTGTAAGTTTTGTTGTAAAAAAGAGAAGGAAAAAAAGTGCTCTAAAAGATACAACAGCAAGTGTGTTTAGGGGTGTTAAATAGCTGACCATATTAATGTTTTTGGTTGGATCACTGAACACAACTGTTCGAAAAAAGTAATAAGAACTAAGGAGTAATAAAACCCAAAATGTGTAAGTTTTGTTGTAAAAAAGAGAAGGAAAAAAAGTGCTCTAAAAGATACAACAGCAAGTGTGTTTAGGGGTGTTAAATAGCTGACCATATTAATGTTTTTGGTTGGATCACTGAACACAACTGTTCGCAGTCTCACTGTTTGAATGTCCACTTTGTATGCTTTGATACTGTGACTTGAGCAACTATCTCTAAGATGATAATATGTAATCTATTAACTGGTGATTTCTTATTGTTTTTTTTTTTTTTGTAGTTCTGTATTACTTGTACCCTTACACCGCTTTGTTTTGTTTTGTTTTTTCTCTTTTTCCTTTTAAATAAAATTAAAAAAAAAAAAAGAAAATCGAGTAGATTTAAGATCCTGAGATCTAATAGATATGAACCAGCCACATCATTGGGGAGCCAAAAAGGATCCTAACTTTCTCTGCTGGGAACTCACACTCACTATGGGTACCTAGTCAGTATGACACACAGCCCTGTGTCACATGCATGCTTCAGTGATGCTGCAGGAGGTACAGGCCCAAAACAAGGGCCCTTTATTCTCTCTAGAGGCTGGGGCTGCCTGCACAGAGGGTGTCAGAAATGGGACCAAGAAGTGTCAACCTCCTTCCTACCCACCCAGAATCCCTATGGGCTTGACCAATCAGTTCCTTGGAAGTCGCAGTTCCAGCTCTCAAATGCATAGAGCCAGACACATTAAGACCAAACAGCAAGTGTGGTTCAGATTTTACTGGAATCACATAGGCAGTGTAGGGCTGTACACCAGGCTACACTGGTCTCTTCAGCAGTGCTGGGGAGCACAGAGCTGAGCTCCAGGAGGGTCCGGGCTAACCTCCTTGAAGCAGACACAATGATGGGTAGGATGGTCAGGCTGGTTTTAGTGCAAGACACCATAGTGGTAGCATTAGGAGAGGGTTTTGCCAAAGGAAAATGAAGAGCTAGCACTTTAAAGGGCTTGGCTGGACCAGGGATGACACAAGAGAAAAGAGAGTTTACAGGGCTTTTTCAATTGGGGGAAATAACTGTAAAGTAGTATGAGGGCTGCAGGGGTCTGGCTGACCCTCAGAGCACTGGGCAGCAGAAGAAAACTGGCTTCTCACTGCCATCTTCCGGCTGTCAAGGTCCTATTTGTTTCCCCACTTTGCAGTCTTCATAAACACGGGTCTTGGAAAGAAGCGGCTGGACTTCATGTAAGCAGAAATCTTCTCTAGACCCTAGGAGCAAGAAAGAGAAAAAAGGAACTTAGGATCTAGGCCCCAGTGGGTCTAGGGAAAGCCTATCCATGGGGCTCAGCTGCCATAGAAACATAGAACTGCTTCGTTCCAACTCTGGTGAAGAACGCTTCAATTTCCTGTAACTGAGGGACAACACTGGGGAGGGCTGTTTAAAGTGTCTCATACCCACCACCTACTGAAACACAAGATTATAAAATCCACTCAACATCCCACAAGATAGGTTCTCCCACTCCCAGTTATCAGATGTACAGAGAGGGTGGCACGCTCACACAGCCAGTGTGTGAGACAAGCCTGGGTGCAGCCTGGCTCTGCCTCTGCAACTCTGCACTGTCTTTGCTGCCCTCATCACAGGAGACGCTGTGATTCCCAGGCTCACAGACACTGGCTTTTTTCAATGGGGCAATTTCTGCTTGCCTGGCTTTAAAGCAAGAGGATGGATCTAGTAAGACAAAGAGACTCAAAATGTGCCTGGGCTCCCTTTGAAAAAGCCCAGACTTCATCCAGTCACTCAGTACATCCAGGAAGAACTTGGAATCAGGCAGTAAAATGACTGCACTCACTTCCCATAAATCAGAAAGTCCAAACTATTCTACTTGGTATCTGAATCCAATCTCACTGCATCCCAAACTACTTTATCTGCAGCCCTGCTAGAGCGGGCCTGGAAGAATGCCACTCAGGGGCTTTCCATCAACTTTCCAGGAGTGAGTACAGGATGCTTTCTGAAGAGCTCAAAATCCAGAGCTGCCTGATTCCATCACACCAGGCCCAGCTGGCCACAGCCTACAGCTCTCACCCCTGCAACCCAGCCCTCCCTCCTCATAGTCCTATCAGCTCTTACACAATCTTCAAGGCCACACTGCCTGGACCAGAACCAGAGCTGATGAGAACTAGCTGAGAAAGCAAATCACTTCATGTGGGGTGGGAAAGGAGCAAATTCCAGGCTGTAAAACTAGTTAGATAAATGCTTCAAAATTCCCAAACCTCTTATAAAATAGGCTCTGCTGGGCTCAAACAGGTGGACTCTGGATGATCCATGGTTAGCTATGAGGTGAGGTCCAGGTTCTCTCCCTAGCACACGGGTGGTGGCACATGACCCCACAATCTGGTATGCCTGCTCTCCTCAGCTACACTGAGTCCTAGCATAGGGTGAGGGGTCTCTGCATCTCCCTCTGAGACTGACACAGAGACTCATAGTGAAGAAGTGGAAAATGTCAGTATTTAGGAGTAAAAACTCGTGTACTCCCCATTTCACAAATGGAAAAATGGGATATTAGAAAAAAAAACAGGAGAAGGAGAAGACTGAGAAGGACTGTCCCCAACCATAGAACAGGTCAAGATAAAATCCTCCAACAGGCCACCCACAGGTGTACTCAGTCCAGCACGAACTATAACCGCAGGCTCTCAGTGCTTCCCCAGCTGGAGATCTGATTGAGCGAAGCACCCACAGATCAGATGTCACTATTGTCTGCATCTTGGTGTATCACATCCTTGTAGCCTTGTCCTAGCCCTCCTACTGCCAGCTGCACACACTCCTCATATGCTGTTCCATCCTGCAAAGGGTGCTGGGCTGGAAACGCAGATGCACAAGGGCCTAAAGTTCTTTCTTGGAGCACAAAACAGAACCACCTCTTGTTGCCCATAGAAGCCACAGTTGAAAAGGAGCCCAGCACAACCTCCACTGGCACTGGGACATTCAGCAAATGGCTTATCCTCTACAATCTTGGTTCCCTTATCTGTGCAATGGGACTGGCAATTCTGTTAACCTTGTAGGAATGCTGAAATGATACATTTGATGCAATGGATATAAAATGCTGAGCACGGGCCCTGGCATAAAGTCCAGTGTTCTAATAAATGCTAGTTATTCTTCATTTTAGCTCCAGGACAAGGAAAGCATTTGGAAAATGGGGAAGGGAAAGTACATCAAAAGGGGAATAGGATATCCAAGAGGAAAATGAATCAGAGGCATCACCTCAAAGCGGGATATGAAGTTCTTCAGGTTTGGGAACGCATCTAGGCATGTAGGCTCAAATACTTGGTTCCTCTCAATGGTGTCATAAGCGAGGAAGTCCACAAAGGTGATCTGTAGAAAGCCAAGGGAGAGTGGGTTGGAAGCTCACAACCAGGGAAGAATGACAACTTCTCCTCCCATCACTTTCCCCTCTACCTTGTCCCCTGCAAACCATGGCTGCTTTCCCAGGAACTGTGAGAACAGCTTCATCATTTCAGGGAGTCGGTTCAAGTATTCTGGCTTCAGTTTCTCCTGAGGCAGAAAATAGTTGTCACCACTCTCAGACACAAGCTCGCTGGCAGAAAAGCCAGGCTCTTCCATGCTGTACATGGTCCTGGCTGGCCAAGTACGAGCAGCCACCTTCCTGAGATTGCAAATGGGTCAATACCTAAGTTTCAACTTAATATTTCAACATTTATTATATTGCAAGAGGCACTAAACATGATCTGTCAGAGGTAATGGTAAACTGGTAGGAATAAATCACGGCCCCTGAATTTGTTACCACTGATGTCCAAATCAGGTTGTGTGGGTCAGACCCAAAAGTGCTGTGACACCTGGTAGACTTTGATCTCAGACATTAGGCAGAATCAAAGAAGCCAACAATTAATCGTGCCCATGGGAGAAAAAAGTTGAAAGTTCTGCTTCATAGGGAGGCAGAAAAGGGCTTGGAGTTTTGCATGATTTCCAAACAGATGAAGCAAATTTGCCATGGCAAAAGGAAAATGAGAGAGGTACAAAGGCCTTTAGGTCAACTTTGAGCTGCCTACTGGGAAAACTGTCTATCCCTATGGATGTCAAAGAGACACCACTGGGAAACAAGTTGGAAAGGGGTCTGACCATAAGGGTGTCCTTTTAGGTCCAGCTTGTTCTTTGCATAGTTCAAGCCTGTTTATTCCAGGGCTATGATGCTTTAAAGTAACTGGAAGATAAGGTCTAGGGTAGAAACCAGCAGTCATATGTGGAGGAATATGCCCAAAAATTTACTGTCAGATACTGAATTTCCTACTTGCCCAATTTCTAAGATGTACTAAAGTCTACTGAGAGTTTTCATTTAACCTGACATTGAAGTTTGAGGGTCAGTCTGTTGAAAGTTTAGAGTACTAATAGAATGAGTAGTGTTACAGAATTCGATGGCCAACTGGACTAGAGTACATGGAAATGCAAGGATCTGAGCCTCTGATCAAACGCTGAGGGATGGAAGGGGGCTCACAAAGTCAGAGTCGTAGCAAAGCCTGGCCAGCTCCATGCGGGTATCCATAAGCTGGTTCTCCAAAATGTCCACACGAATCTTCTCCTCTTCTGTCTCACCACCTGAAGTCCACACAAGAGACTCACTCTCAGCATCTGACTCCAGTGAAGCTTAGGGGAATGGCCACTGTTCCCCCCACACCAAGAAGCCAGCCATACTCACACAGGTTGTGCTTGCGGGCAATGTAGCGCATGATGGCATTGCTCTGGGTGAGCTTGTGGGTCCCATCAATTAGGTAGGGCAGCTGTACTGACAGCCAGGATAGGTCAGTTGGGATGCCAGGTCCCAGTATCCCTTCCCTGACTTAGAGCAGACATAAGACTTGGCACTCAGTGTGTCTGCCCAGGGCAAGACCTGAACACCTCTACTGTACAATCAATGAATGAGCTGGAACACCCACTATTGCAGAAAGACAGGATAGACAGCCAGGAATGAGACTAAGTGAGCAGAAGTACTAATCCTAGAAACTACATTAAGATGAGTTAGGGACATATTTACTTCCCCCAAACCACCCCTATCCCTTGTACCTACATTGGGAAAGTCAAGTCCCAGCTTGAACTTCTCGTTCAGCCATTGGCTTTGATCATAATCAGGAGCTGTGATGGAGAAGATGAAGTGAAAACAAATCTGACTTTCTCATTAATCTAGTACCACTTTCATGGAATCAGGGGCAAGACTTTCTGATAGTGCATCTGGAATATGAACCTCTGGATTCCACATTGCAAGGTCATAGGGTAAAGTGTGTTTGCAAGGCTTGTGGACCAACAGGATTAAGGCTTGCAAAAGATTTAGAAAAGTACTAAGGGAGACCAAACCCAATTATAGATATAGAGGGTCCCAAATCCCTTGAATTTTTATTTGATACAAGTTTAAAATTTGAGAATCACTCTCTCCGTCAAACTGCATGCTCATCAGGGTTTATGGAAGGGACAGACTCCAACAAGAGCTGCCAACATGAGCAACATGCACCCAAGGCATGGGCTGCTGGGCACCAGTCATCAGGACTGGGCAGGGGTCTCAGCAGGGAGGTGCTATTACCGTCCCCCATGGTGTATCTCTTCTCCACATAGCTGGTGTCTGTATATTCCAGGAGCAGGCGGATGCCGTGAGCCAGCTGGCAGAAGTGACCCATGAAAGAAGTCAAAGATGAAGATACTTGGACTGTGACCTTCACACCCTCCATGGAAACCACTCACCTTCCCCCAACACACACACACACACCCCTCTCAAAGTTTCAAGGGGCCTTCTGACTGGAACAGAGGGCTCCAGAAAATCCTGAAGAGGATTTGTATTTCAGAATCTGGCCCCAGCCTCTCAGCTGGTCCCGCCAACCCTCTCCCCACTATTTAACCCTAGCTCACCCCGCGGATGTCCCAGTAACCTAGAGTCACAGACATGCTGCTGTTGTAGACCGTGCAGGTCTCCCTCTGCCAGCTTGCTCTCCAGGTTCTGAGAGCGCCGGACAAACGGAGGGGCGGGTCCTGGCTGCAGAGGGGACTTGGGTCCTTCCTGCTCCGCCCCCAATCCCAACCAACCCCGAACGCCAGAGCTCCAGCCGGGGCTGCTGGGGAAGGAGTGAGTTCCGTGCAAAGCTGCTTTAGGTCTCGACGTCGGAGTCGCGGGAGCCGGGACTGGGCGCCCAGAAGCCAAAGCAGGACTAGCTGGGTTCTTCTGCTCCCCGGCCCAGCCAGCGACTCCTCGCGCCCATCCTGCTGGGTCCTCTGGGAGCTGCCAAGTGGACTTGGCTGCGGCTGAATGTTGAAAGCAGTGTGGCTGTCCCTTCTTTCCCTTCCTGGAGCCCCTAGAGTTCCTTGGTGAGGCCAATAAGGACTGACTCCAGAGACTTGTGCACCACTTTGTCCACAATAATTAATAGAAATCAGATTGTCGTCAGGTCTTTGCTAACGAGGGTATTGCGGAGGCCACGCCCCTCAGCTGGCACAGCTTAGTCCCGGTTACATGTGCTGCCCACTCTTCAGCTGGAACCAACCTCCAGGCCTGGGTCTCCAGACTCTGTGTCCAGACTCGGGAAGCAGCCATTGGCCTTGAGTCAATTCCCTTACAGATGTGTCCACAGGGCCTGGTCCTCTGAACTGGTATGCTTTTAACCCCTAAGTGTTGTAATTTCGAATTATATGCATCTTGAATTTCAAAAGAAATGTAGATCTACTGGGGGAAAGATTTTTTTAAACTAGCACAAATTAAAATAATAATTTTGAAAGTACGTGACTATTCACCCATCTGGTTCCTCCTTTATTGGAAAAGAAACAGTTGTAGAGATCATGCTACAGCTATGTCCTGTGGAAAAAATCTTTCAAGTTCAGCGTAGTTGGCCATTAAAGGTGAGAAGTCACGTGGGAACTTGAGGGGAAATTTTGGAAATATGATTCACATTCCAGTGTATTGTACCCTAAAAGGAGTGGAGAAGGAGGGAGTCAAGTGCAGGACAAGGAGACCTTCTGGGCCAGGGCAAGAACACTGAGGAGTCAGGCAGACCAGGGCCAGAGGTCAGGAGCCTTCAGAGGAGAGGACCCTCTCAAAAATAGGGCCTCAGAGGCCAGGGAATCATCCAAAGGGGTGATGGGGGTCTCTGGAAGAAAAGAGCAATGGTTGGAATTACAGAGACTAGGCAGTGGTCTGAAGCAAGGAATTACAGCCATTGGTGACCTTACAGAAATCCATCCCAATGCTGTCTGAGACACTGAACATCTGGGTGCTCAGTTTCAACCATACAGTGTGGGAGATTTTCAGTGTTTTAAAGGGGCACTATGCAGAATAATCAACATATCAAGATACAGCTTATAGAATGAGAATCTCCAGACTGGATTCCATAATCCCTTTAAGTTTTGCAACTAATATCTATCACCTTCAAGGAAAATTCACCAAAATTCTATGTAAAATTAAGTCAGAATTTTTCTTTTAAAAAATATAACTTATTAGAAACAAATAACAACAGACAAATTAAAACATGCCCTCCGTCATGGAAATCTTTTTTAAATCTCTTGAGTACTATCTGAGTAAACTTTTCTTATATACATGTTAATTTTACTGCCAAGCGGAATAAATACAAAAAATAATTGAAAGAAATTAAGATCAGAATGAGGTCATATTGCATCACAACGAGCAATAATAAGACAAAAAGACTCTTTTTCTTCAGGAATTTGAAGCGTGACATTTTAAAGCTTCCAAAAAGGAGAGTGTTACATAAACTGTCACTGTCAAGAACTACACATAAGCATGGCATAAAAGACCTAATCCAGGGAGCCAACACAGAGAGGATGATAGTAAGTTGCTGTCTTTTATGGGGCAGAATCCAGAACCAGGCCTGGCTCTTCAGAGAAAGAACGTGAAATTTTGGTTATAACTGCATTTGTGCTTGCACTCAGCAGCTAGAGCTAGAGTTTCACAGAGAGAAAGTTGGAGGAACAGAGAGAAGGTGAAGGAAGAGAAGGGGATGTGGACTTAGCGAGTAGTTGGAAGGTATAAGGGTTCTTTACACTCCTTTTTCAAATTTTCCCAAAACCTGTTATTATTCAAATTAAAAACTACACATACCCTGTGATCCACAATTCATGTACATATTAGTTTGAATTTCATCATCTAAGTCTTGTATTAACTACATAAAATGCAGCCTGAAATTGCTTAATTTTATTTTTGTTTTGTTTTTTACATTTTAACTTTATTATTTTTTACATTTTTAAAAGTTTTATTTGCAATTGATATGCAATAATTGTACATATTTATGGGGTACCATGTGATGTTTGATACATTGTGCAATAAGCAAATCAGGGAATTTAACATATCTAGCACCTCAAATATCCATCATTTCTCTCATGATTGATAAAATGATTGATACATCATTTTTCTAATTATTTTCAAATACACAATACAATAGAGTTAACTAATATCACCCTATTATACAATAAAACACTAGAGCCTATTTGTCCTATCTAGCTGCAATTTTGTACCCATTCCATTGCTGGTCAGTCCATACCCAACCTTCTCCTAGGCTTTGCTAATCATTATTCTACTCCATGTTTCTATGAGATCAGCTACTTTAGATTCCACAAACAAATGAAATCATACAGTACTTGTCTTTCTGTGCCTGGCTTATTTCACTTAGCGTAATAACATCCAAGTTCATCCACACTGCCACAAATGACAAGATTTCATCTTTTTGTGACTGACTAGCATTCCGTTGTGTACGCATACTATGTTTTCTTTACCCAGTCATCTGCTGAAGGGCATTTTGATGATTTCTATACCTTGGATATTATAAATAATGCTGGCTAGATCATATCTCTTCATTCAAAATTATTTTAATATTCAAAAATAGTCACTCAAATATTCAAAAATTTTTGTATTATTATATTGTATTATATTGTATTAATATACAAAAATTTTTGTACTATTCTTCCTTTAGAAGAATAGTCTGTGGTGGAATTTCTAAGGTATATAATCATTTTGATTTCTTGAGGAATCTCCATATTGTTTCCTAAAATAGCTATTACAGTTTACATTCCCGTCAAAAGTGTAAGCATTCCCATCTCACCACATCTATGCCAGCACCTTTTTATTGGTCTTTTTTTATGATGGCCACTGTAGATAGGATGAGGTGATATTCTCTTTAGGTTTTGTTTTACATTTTCCTGGTAACTAGATTACCAGAGCACTACAGGTATATGAAAGCTATTGAGCATCTTGCATACCCCATAGTTCATTTGTATGTTTTCTGAGAAATCTCTATTCTTGTTTTTGCCTATTTTTAAATTAAGAATGTTTGGGTTTGTTTTGGTTTCATAGTTTACAGATATTTCTTTCATATCTCTTGGGTTGTCTCTCCACTCTATTGATTATTTGCTTTATACAGAGGCACAAATTTCCCATAATGAATGTGATCACTACATATGAGAAGAATGCATAAACAAAAAATTCTTCATCCATTAGAAAAAAAAGGGTGGATTTATTATCTTTCCTCCCATTGTGTGTTCTTGTCAGCTGTGTTGACAATTAGTTAGTTGTAAATACACAGATCTATTTCTTTGTTCACTATTCTTTTTTATTGATCGGTGTGTCTGTTTTTATGCCAATACCATGCTGTTTGTTTTTATGCTAATACCATGCTGGTCGTCATGGCTTTGTAGTGTGGTATTTTACCATAAAGCAGAGTGATGCCTCCAGCCTTGTTCTTATTTTTCAAGTCTTTAATGGCTCCATATCACTTTTTGGATTGACTATTTCCTTTCCGGTGAAGAATGTCACTGGCATTTTCTCAGAGATTTTAATGAATCTGTAGACTGGTTTAGATAGTGTAGGCATCTTAATAATACTAGTGCTTTCATTTTATGAATATGGAGTGTCTTTCCACTTTTGTGTGTGTTCTCTTCAGTTTCTATGGTAACTGTTTTGTTGTTTTCATTACAGTAATATTTCACCTCTTTGTTAAACTTATTCCTAGATATTTTACTTAATTTTTTGTAGCTATTATAAATTGGAGTGCTTTTAAATTTCTTTTACAGATGGTTCGATCTCAGTGCATAGAGATACTTTTCGCATCCTTGTCACAGTCCAGGAAGTTTATATTTGTAATACCGTAGAGATGTGTTTGGAATTCTAGTGAGTTCATTTCAATCTACTGCTTCTAGTGCAACCCAAGGTGAGAATGAAGACATTGAGACATATATGCAGTTATGGGGAGCCAAGGGGTACTAAGTCCAACTAAGACGCTGGTTCACTGGAACAAAAGCCATAACCCAGGTCCCAACTTGGGTTTTATTAATTCTCCATGAGGGGAATGGTCCAGGGATGAATGACTGAGAGTGTCAGGAATATGTGGCTGCAATGAGCTGGGCTAGGTAGATCTGAGATCACCTCTGCAATATGCAGAGGGCAAGAAATGCAGACAGAGTAATCTGCATAGCACAACTGAGGTAGTATTAATAATTTGGAGTCTGTGCTTCAGTTCTGTGGAAAATCCTTTTTGCCCTGGAAGTCAGCCTCTTTCTTGAGCCTCGGATCCCAGCTGACAGTGTGGAAATGACTCTCTATCCCAGCCACACCCAGAACTATGTTAATCCATTTAGCCAGATCTTTCATGCTCAAGTTGTCACGGTTAACTGTCACACTCGGTCAGTAGAAACACTACCAGTTTTCGTATGCTGATTTTATATCTTGCAACTTCATTGCATTTGTGTATTTGTTAGCATTTTTTATTGAAGTTTTCAGGTTTTCTATATAAGATTGTGATACCTGCAAATGAGGACAGTTTTACTTTCTCCTTTCTAATATGGAAGTACTTTACTTCTTTCTCTTACCTAATTGTTGCTAGTACTATGCCAAATAAAAATAGTAAAAGTGGGCAACCTCTCCTTGTTCTAGACTTACAGGAATACCTTCAGAATTTTCCCGTTCTATATGATGTCCACTGTGAGTTTGTCACATATGGTATTTACCGTGTTTAGGTATATTCTACAATTGACTTGTTTTATCATGAAGAGGATTGAATTTTATCAAATGCTTTTTATGTATCTATGGAAAAGACCATAAGGTT